TATAAGAGACCCGGATATAAGAGAAACCCGGATATAAGAGAGATTTTCTCTGGTCCCAAATTAGAGCCTTTGTTAATGTATAAAAAGATCAAACTCGGATATAAGAGAAACCCGGATATAAGAGACTTCTTCTCAGTCCCGACAACTCTCTTATATCCGGGTTAAACTTGTATATATATATATATATATATATATATATATATATAGTCAATTTATATGGTATACACACAAACACACACAAACCCACACATATATATTACAATTTGTCATATACATAAGCTCAACTATAATTCATATTTGTTTATATATATATATTGGGTTGGTGCAAAAATAATGACGAAATAATGTCGTTTTTTTGACGTAGTTTTAACGTCAAAAACGACATTAATCTCATACTTTTGCAACCTAATATATATATATATATATATATATATATATATATATAAATTAAGACATTTTATATTAATACATTCTTTTTATAGATACAAATATTTCAGTAAATGCTCTGTTTTATAACAAACTGTATTAAACATTTACCGGCCTTAATGTCCGAGAAATTATTCGTATCTATAAAAAGAATGTATAAAAATAAAATGTCTTAAAAAAATAATTGTCAGACTTCATTATATATATATATATATATATATATATATATATATATATATATATATATATATATATATATATATTAATAAAAAACAGACCACTTTAAGGTTCTATGTAATAAATTATTTCACCACAGCCCTTATGTAAATTAACGAAGTGAGGAAGTGAGTGGGGAGAGAGAAGACATGAGTTAGTTATATGTAATTTAAAATTTCTATTCTTTTATACTTAAAATTACTTGAGGTCCAGACATTGACACATTTTAAATTACATCTAACTCACTCATGTCTTTTCTCTCCCCGCTCACTTCCTCACTTCGTTAATTTACATATGCTTAATACGGCCCGTCAAAAATGTGTAAAGTTTCTTCTCATTTTTGTTTCAATCTTTGGAAGTAAGTCCTTTAAAAGGGCTGTGGTGAAATAATTTATTACATGGAACCTTAAAGTGGTCTGTTTTTATTTAAATTATTTGCTCTGGATTTACATTGAGCTCTCTGGATTTTATCCTCCTTGGGTTTACCCATACGGATTACCTAGTTTTTCATGAATTATATATATATATATATATATATATATATATATATATATATATACATGATAAATTGGAATTTATATATATATATATATATTCCCGTTGAGAGATGGAGGGAAATAGTCGCCCACTTTGTATTTTAGTGATTCTTAAGTGGTGAAGTTTCTCGTTTTTCTGCTTTTTTTCTTTTGTTTTGTTTTTGTTTTTTTCTTTCTTTGATTTGGATTAATTTCCGGGGTTTCATCCCAGGTCAGCACTCCATCAATTGTGGATAGGTCCCTGGGTCCAAATCCTTTGACACAGACACCAATTATAACCCAGTTGATGCGTGTTTCTTGGAATGCCACTCTCACTTTGGCCCATGTTCGTCGAACTGGCCCCTTCACAAATCCTACCTCCCAACATTGTGTGTTTTTTTGGGGTTTTTTTTTTTTGTTTTTCAATTTTGGCAGTAATATCGGTGAAGTACTATGGAAGATCTGGTTTAACTTCTATCTGTCCTGGTTATGCTTGAAATTTATTTAACTTCAATAACGCTCATTAACAAGTGTAAAAATAACAACTTTTATTTATGGCACGCTGATTGATCAAGATCATGAATACATAAACAAAAGGGATTTGAAGAATTTTACCCGTATAAGGAATTTTTAAAATGGAAGGAAGAGTTTGACTGGCAGTTGGAGTCATGGCTATATAGCCCTGAGTCGTTCTACTATTCAAATGGTGGTCGTTGATGGAGGCAGTTCAAAAACGGCGCAGAATACAAGACTTTAGCTTATTGGGGTATCACGGTCATCCGGCAGGGAGAGTGTTGGTCTCCTTGCGGCGAAACCAGTTCGATCTTACTTTAGCCAATCTTCTAATATCATAGACCTATCAATGTCTGGTGCCACATACAGATTTGGGAGAGATTTTTATGCATCTTATTTTTACTGACCATTCAATCATACCTTTTATGCGCATTTTAGCCTATTTTTAGCCTATTGGCTTGGGTTACGATTAAATTGAATTTTTTAGACCTTCACTTTTTGAACACGGTTGATTTTATTAAAGAGTTCTCTGACGTGGGGTTAGCCACATTGGATCATCAGTTCACCCTGATGATCCCATATGGCGAAGCCTAGGTAGGTAGTACCTGGCTCATTAGGATTTATTTATTATATATATATATATATATATATATATATATATATATAAAGGTTAGTTAACAAATAAATACTTTTATATATAAAGGTTAGTTAGCAAACAAATATCTTTGGGATTCTGTTCCTCGAATCTAATAAGGTAATTTAATTTATTCCCCTTCTTATCCTCTAAAATCAAAACGCATTTTCCTTACACAGTTTTCTCTTTTATTCTGCTCCGAAGAACCTGTGATTATCAGATGTCGGCCAAAAAGTTTCTTAATAGCTTTTTTTCCACTTTGTTTCATCTCCATTTTAATTTCGGCTACGATTATGCATCCTACATACACACATACACAGAGAGAGAGAGTGAGAGTGAGAGAGAGAGAAAGAGAAAGAGAGAGAGAGCAGATATATGCAGGCTGCGATGGATAAATTGTCGTCTAAATGACGCAAAATAAAAATAACACTGAGCTCTTATTTTAACAGATATATTTACCAAAATTACACAAAAATATCTTGAAATACTAAAGAGCACATTTATTCGCTGAAATCGCCATTGGTTTCAACCACGGACTCCAAACGACTTCGCAATCTCCTGCAACTCTTCTGGACGGACTCCATGTTTTAGTTGATGAGTGCTGTCATAATACTCCTTGCCTTCAGTTCATCTTTGGACAAGAGGTTTTGTTGGTCATTCGCTCAAGTGCGCTCCATAAATAAGAATCAACAGGGTTGCAACCTGGGGAGATAGTTGGCTAGATGTAAAGGGGTGATGTAGTCGCAGAAATTTTCTGACAGCGATGACTGGGTTCTCCTACTTGTGTAGTAGGTTGCAGAGTTCGCTTGCCAAGCGTAGGGTCTTCCAGCAGCCACGCTCTTGACCCAGGGCACCTTATTACCATAATAACTCTTTCCGAATCCTCTGAACTGTCCTTAGATTGAAACCGAAACACTTTGAAATGTTCTATTTGGAGCATCGGGCGCGAATTCCAAGCAGTACAGCATGCCTTTTGCATATTTCTGGCGGAGTGAATTGCGTCATGGTGCTCTTTTCCTCACAGACGGTGCACAACTGGCCCTACTATATTGTGCAGGCGACAAAATAAAAAAAATAAAAATAAAAAAACCAACGCGCATGCGCGAAATTAAAAATAAAATGGCGACAATTTATCCATCGCATCCTCTCTGTGTGTGTGTGTGTGTGTGTGTGTGTTTCACTCATTCCTTTATAGTGCAATTTTGTTTTGACCTGCTTACTCAAATAGCGAATACTTTTCATAAGGACATATTTATTTAAATATCACTGACTATGAACGTCCGTGATGGTAATAATTAAATGTCTTTCACAGTGATATTTAACTGACACGCGGATGAACGGACATACGGGAATAGGCATAGATAAGCGTGCGTTTTTGCTTATAAGCATAAGGGACATTTCAGACTCACACACACAAACACTACATTTCGTTTATAAGGTTAACTTTCTTCGTATTATCTTTAGAAGCGCCTCAGTTCTTTTCGGCATACCCTCGACAGTATTCTAAAATCATTCTAGAAATTTGGGTCTACACTGCCATTATGACATCTGGAATTTCCCTAAATGACATCCCGTGGTTCTTCTAGATTGATTGGCTCTACACCCAGAATATAAATCTCCCTTTCTAACAGAATTCTCAATTGAATTAAAATCAGGTGGCTGGGGAGGTCACTTTAACACAGAAAAATGCATTGCTTTGTTCTATAAACCAATATACCACTAACCTTTGATTTGTGATACGGTGTGTTATTTTCGTAATGTCAACGAACACTCGTTGTCACTTTTGTGATGCCAACGAATACTCGTTGTCACTTTCGTAATGCATGTTGTAGTAGATACTTTGTAATCGCAGATACAACTATAGTAACGCCGTTGAACCATACTAGTGTCAGACGCCTTCGAATAGCAATCACACAAATAGTACTTACTCGATAATCAGTCAGTCAGTTATGTGCCATTTGGGATACCCTCTTAGGCGATAATGTAACTTTCGATATATGACTGACGAGGCAGAATTTTACTCGCATTAGTTTGCCATTTCTTTCTGCAGTAGACCAGTTGCCATCTAAGCCTAGAGAACCCGGTCTGTCCTGCTATTTACCCATAGATGAGGGGGGAGAAGAAATGAGCGGTAAAACTTTTTGAACTTGAGAAACATATTTTCGTAGAAAATGTTTTAATAAAAAGATTTGATAAATTTCAACCAACAGAATCACAAGCTGCTCGATCACTCAATATCAAATATTTCCTTATGGGGAAATGGTTAATATTACCATGACAATTAATATCATCGTCCATTCTGTCTATCTTTACTTTTGTGATGTCAACGGACACTAATTGATATTTTTGTAATGTCAACGAATACTCGTTGTCACTTTCGTAATGCTCGTTGTAGTAGAGACTTTGTAATTGCAGATACAACTAGAGTAACGCCGTTGAACAATACTGGTGTCAGACGCCTTTGAATGGCATTTGCACTAATAATTACTTGCTCGATTATACTCGCTCAAAAAGTAACCACCGTATTGTGATGTAAACAGTGACCCGTATAATGATCAGTATAGAGAAATAGTATAGGGAATAGAGTAGAGAATAGCGGTCCGTATAGTAATAGAGGATAGAACAGAAATAGTGATAATATTTATTGTACGAAAGTACAAATAGGGTAGAAGGCCAACAGGGGGAATGGGTAAAAGGACTGTCTGTCTGTCTGTCTGTCTGTCAGTCTATCTATCTATCTATCTATCTATCTATCTATCTATCTATCTATCTCAGTCTATTCATTATCTATCGATCTATCTATCTATCTATCTATTCATTATCTATCTATCTATCTATCTATCTATCTATCTATCTATCTCAGTCTATTCATTATCTATCGATCTATCTATCTATCTATTCATTATCTATCTATCTATCTATCTATCTGGCTGTCTATCTATCTCTTTTACTGGAAGGGATAACACATGCAATTTGAAGAGTGAATAACGATCTATCTATCTATCTATCTATCTATCTATCTATCTATCTATCTAATCAATGTCTGTATGTTTATCTAACCGAGTCTATTCATATCTGTCTGTCTGTCTGTCTATCTATTTATCTCTTTAACTGGAAAGGATAACGCATGTAATTTGAAACCCGAATAATGACCTAATCAAGATATTGACGTTCCACACTACCTCATAGAAGAGGCTAAGAAGGAAAATCCCACCATAATAATAGAGAATAGACTAGAAATAGAGATCGTTTAGACGTCACGCTACTTTCTATTTAGGTTTTTCTGCCATGGTCACGTGATCCACTTAATTCAATGATGGGATCGCCTGTGTTTGCTCAATGGCGATCTATGTCACTACCGACTCAAGAGTCGGTAGTGACCCTTTATTCCTCTATAACAGAAAATGTGTGTACCCTAGTCAGAAATTGTGTGACGTGGTCATCTACAACATGTAGATAGGCTGCAATCTTTTTATTTTTATCACTGACGTAGGCGATCATGGCTCTCAACAAAATCCTATAGTTGTAGCTCTTTTTATCATTTACAAAGCTTGTTAAGTAATTTATTCACCGTTTCCCGCTTTCGTTCTTGCCCTAAATATATCATCTGAGTGTCGATTTCCCCATACCCACTTTCCTCATCATGTGTTCTAGAAATTTCAATTATCTAATTTTGATTCTAAATATAAGCGCTCTTTTCGTTTCCGTTTCCCTTAAAACTTCCCGGTTACTCATGTGTTCAGTCTATAGTCTACTCAGCATCCTTCTGTAGGGATACATTTCTTTTGCCGCTAATGTCTTCTTCGTCTGTGATGTGATTTTCCAGTATTCACTAGTAAACTTTTTATATTCCAGAACACTCTAGGCATTTTTTCGGTTAGTGCTGAATTTTAAATTCTGTGACGGCAAGTCAGAATGGTTAAGTGATATGTATCTCGTGACATACTAACTAGAATCCATCTTCTTTTTCTGGTACCATGTTCTTTCAGGACGTGGACGATTATGAGTCTCCACAACTTCCTATCATGTGTAGCTCTAAATTATATTTGTTTTGTTTTTTTAATATTATTTCTATTCCCTATTCTACCAACTACTTTTACAAGATTGTTAGATATTTTAACCGTTGTTTCCTGTTATTCGTTTTGCATTTAACTTGCCATGTGAGTGTCTGATTCTCCAAACCTGCTTTACTCATTATAAATTCGAAAACTTTCATTCAACTGCCTATTTCTGATTCTAAGCATAAGTAAAAACATATTACATTGCTACACACAAAGCTTTTATGTTTCAATTCTCAATCATAGTATTGAAAGATGAAAGATTTTGTGTTGCGATTAATGTTTTATTATAATGTAATGAAATATTATAAAATATATAAGAAAAATATAAAATAAAATAAAAATTTCGAGACAACTCAATAAAACAATGTTTTATAAAACCTGACAAAAATGAAAATAAAAATAAAAACCGAGACAACTCCTCCATATTTATTTAAGGGTTAAGCCATGAGAGACACGATAAAGATTGAACCTGGCCTGACGATCCTTCATTTCTGAGGATGAAACTAGACTTATAATTTATCTTATATATATATATATATATATATATATATATATATATATATATATATATATTCAGGCCGACAGATGTAATTAGCTAAAAAATAGTGTTTAATAAAAAACGGCGCTTCTATTTGAATATGAGAATCCATCAACAATAACGTTTAAACAATACAAATTAAAGATAAAAAAATATATGGGATTTAATCCATTTTCCAAAAAAATATTGTTTAATTAAAAACAGAGTTTCTACTCGAATATGAGTACAAATAACATTTCAATAAAAATAAATTAAGCACACACCGAGTTCTTTCATATTTTCTATATTTTTTCACACACACACATATATATATATATATATGTGTGTGTGTGTGTGTGTGTGTGTCTGTGTGTGTGTGTGTGCGTGTGTGTGTGAAAAAATATAGAAAATATGAAAGAACTCGTTAGGTAAATGATCTAAACTTCTTTAGTATTTTTGTTATTATTTTTTTAAATAGTGCTCGATACAAAAGTAGAGCATAAATATAATTATTTATTTAAAAATATGATTCAAACACGCTACATAAGAGTTCTCATGTTTCAAAACAAGAGCCGAAAACGTCAATATAATTATTTGAATTAAATTGAATTAAAGTGCTATGCTCTGTTCCATCTTCAAGCGAATTTTTTTTGCGAATAACTTATTTCTAAAATTTACGTGTTTTTCTTTAAACAATTACACTAGCCGTTACCATAGAAATTTTGATTTTAATAATGAATATGCTCATAAAATACGTATATATATATATATATATATATATATATATATATATATATATATATATATATATATATATATTTTGATTGAGCACTGTAGAGGAAGGGTAATTTTAAAAACAATCGCTCTTCATCGCTTTCATGAATTGAAAACTATTGGCTACTGGTGTTTGCATACATAAACGTATATAATGCGTTAAAATTTTCCCATTCTCTTTGGGTAGAATCTCTGACTGATGCCAAATCAGTCGAGTTTCTATCTCAGCTTAAAGCATTGAAGCAATTGGATGTCTAGCCACACTGATGAGCTGTGGTAAAGCGAAACAGGCTTTTATGCGGTTGACTCTCTGTCTCTCTCTCTCTCTCTCTATATATATATATATGTGAAAAGTTAAAGAACAAATAGGGAACGTTTATCAATCGAACGTTTCACTTTTATTAAATCTTCATCAGAGAAATAAGATATGGAGAAAAAAGAACAAATAAATTCCCGTATTTTTACTACTGCGTTTTTTATTATTATTATTATTTTCATTGGTTAAGCACGTGCTTTTGACTTGTTAAACATACGCTAGTATAATTTATGGTGTTCCAAATTCAAGGAGAGACGACACATACATTTCAAAGTTTCAAAAACGTTCCGAAATAAACATGGGAAAAACCAAGAAACATGACAACCATACATACCGATACACACACACACATACACACACGCAGACACACTCTTATGCACACTCACCTACGAATATAGCTTATTATCTGAATCATACATAGATCAACTAGAATTATTATACTCATAGATCAACTAGAATTATTATACTCTTACATACATAAAGCGATATTTACGGTTTTTCAGTTTGGCTTGGAATCCGTTGACTTCATGAAACTTGAAACGGATGCATTGTCTCGCCTTGAATTCAGAACGCCACAAATTGTACTAACGTTGGTTTAACAAGTTGAATGTTCGTGAATCAGGAAAAGAAAACAAAGAAAAGAAAACAAATGTAAAAATTTCAGAATTTCTTTCTGTTGTGGATTCCGAAATGAAATTCGGTCTCCAATGAATGACAAATGCAAGAAATAAAGATAAAAAATTAAATGTATTTACACAATAATACAAAGGGTAATACTGTTAGTAAATCCAGGAACGCGGTTAGTCGTAATAATAATATATATATAGATATAGTCTCGAAGTAGGACTTCCTTAGAGTCTACGTGCTTGTAACTGTGACTTCTACAAGCGGTTACCTCACACTATTACTCTACTTCCAACTCAATCACAATCTCTGCTCACTCTCCCAAACTCTATCAATCTCTCCATATTCTGACTGACTCAGGCCGCGAGTGTTGGATTTTTCCTCGACTATTTATATATATAGGTCAGTGGTGCATTGTGGGTAATCCGGTTATTTTGGCGGGAGTGGCTTATTTATTTATTTATTTATTTGGGTTAATTTATATAACTTATTTTTTTATTTTCATTTTTTTTTATTTTACATCTTTATTTATTCTTTTCGGTTTTCTATGTTTTATTAACGTCGTAAAAATCTTTGGGGGATTTGCTTATGTCGCTTATTATACTTATTTATGTTTATTTTTCATGCAGGGGGGGCGGTTCTACAGGGACGACGGTCTCATAATCTTAAGAAATGATGAACAAAACTCAGATAAAACTAGAAAAGTAATAACAAAGATTTTCAAAAATAACGGATTTGACATAGATATGAAAACTAGCCTAAACGTAGTAGACTTTCTAGATGTTACTTTCAACCTAAGAAAAGGCACATATAAACCAGACAGAAACCTCAATTATTAACCACTGTACATACAAACATCTTCCAATCATCCGCCTTCAATAATCAAACAGATACCAAAATCGATTAACAGCGGGCTTTCCGACAATTCTTCCAATGAAACCATATTTAACGAAGCTAAGAATGTCTACGAAATATTCCTAAAAGTTAGTGGATTCCCGGCAACACTCACATACTCACCACAGCACAAAAAAGGTCAACAGGAAGAGAAATATTATATGGTTCAACCCATATATATATATATATATATATATATATATATATATATATATATATATATATATATATATATATATACTCTACTTGACTCTCCTGTCGAATACGACGTATGAGGGTCAAGCATATCAGTTCCGAGAAAACCAACAGCCCGACAACAGCACATGAAATTTGATTATAGTGGTGAAGGTTTCGTGCGGGACTATCCACACTTTTTGAAGGGCCGAAGATAGAGGAGTAATGGATAGTGGCTTGGAGTGAGGAATTGGTGAGCCGAGTTCGAATTCCAGTCGAATCCATTACATTCACTTACGTGCTAATACCCTTAGGAAAGGTGTGAATCCTCTTATTCTCCCTCCAGCTATGGGTAAATAGCAGGACAGAAGGGGTTCTATAGTCTTGGATGGCAACTGATCTAGGAGAGGAATTCAAAACCTGCGGAGAGTCGTTTGGGGTCCCTGTGGCTCGTAGTGTACTATATATATATATATATATATATATATATATATATATATACCAAAATAAAAAGAAAGAACAGTTAAATTTTTAATCGAGAGTTTTTAAAAACAGTGCTCGATACACAGTAGAGTATAATATTATAATTATTATTTTTAAAAAATTAAACCCACGCCGATTTTGACTTTGCCGCCTTGATTTGTCAAAAAAAAAAATCCTCTGAAAAAAAAGTTTGAATTCACATTCCCCGACCCACTTAAACTCTATGATACTTTTTAGCTTATGAAAAAAGAGTAAATCATTTTGTAAATTTATTCAGAATCGCTTGAAATGAAACTTTAAAATTTAAGTTTAATTTCAGATTTAGGTTTTGGTTTCAAAACATGGTAATTTCTGTGTCGCGATGAATATATATTTTTCAATAATATATATATATATATATATATATATATATATATATATATATATATATATATATATATATTATCCTTTTCAATTTTCACTCACGCCTTTATATCAGTTGTCTCTTTTGTTTTTTGTTTACACTTAAACTTTCACTTCCTCAATCTCGTCTTCCCTGATTCTTATTACTTATTTGTGCGTCTTTGAGAATATTGTGTTTTTATTTTTCCTTTTCTTTTCCTCCATCTCATCATCTCTTTTTCATTTTCTACATCTTCGACACAAGACTCTATTTGATTTCTTTTTCTGTTCTCTCTCTCATGTCTTCAAACTGTGTTTATTCGAAACAATGCTGGATGTTTATCTTACTTCCCCCACACACACACCTTATCGTCATCACATTCTTCTCTTTGTGCTACTTCGACACAAAAACGCAGTTACATCTTACTTTCTTTCCCTTTTTGATCTTCATCCCTTTCTTCCGTTTGTGCTTTTTTCGAGGCAGTACTGAATGACTCTGTTCCAAGTCCGAGGTGGTATTGATTAGAGCAGAAACATTTAAAGGTTAGCTATATTAGTAAAATAAAATACAAAGGAAAGACGAGAAAATAAACGAGTAAATATAAAACGGGGCTTTGAAATGGTGTATAGGATAAGAGAAAAAGAGAAATAAATAAATAAACGAAACATCTATGAACCATTAGAAATGATGCCAAAATGGCCGACCTGCTAACTCTATTGTATTACCGGATTTTTCTAGTTGAAAGCGATAACTTTCTTTTTATTTTTCTCTTCTTTGACCTTTTAGATGTGTCGGACCATAGTTACATGAAAAATAAAAGAACACAATATATATATATATATATATATATATATATATATATATATATATATATATTATCTTAAAACGTATTAAAAATTTAAATAAAGGAGTTAACTCTTAAAATGGCCCTTTATTGTTCGTGCAAATGTCGAAAGTAGCTCTAGGCGATAGCGAGTCGGGCACTAAGGGAGATAATTTATGGAGCAGATTTATAACCTAAGAATACTTGTGATCTACATACGCAATGCGTATATAAAACCATAATACGAAACCTTCCTCTTCATTCCTGGAAGAAAAGAAAAATAAGAAAGACGTGGTATATTTTAAAGGAATTAACCTGCGCGTGGAAGCGCCATAGTTCCAACAGTATTACTATATTTTTCATCGTTCTATATAAAATTGGACCTAAACTTTACACATTTTAATCTTGGGTTCCGAAGAACTATCTTTCATAGCATCACCTACTCATTATGCTCAAAGTAAAGATTTATGAAATTCCCTGATGG